GAAGGAAAAGAAAACAGCATTCCATCTTAAGCATCATGTAGATGTCAGCCATTCAAACACAGAGTGCAAAAGAGGAGTAGAGTCTTGTGTGCAAGGGACAGTAGGGACCTGGAGAAGAATGGGACCTTGATCACTAGAGACAAAGGTCTCCAAGACTGAATTAGTGACTATGCCTCTCAAAAAGGCTGTAGTTTCATCGTGTAACTTTCTACTGCATTGCTTTTCTTTTGAGCTCCTCTCTATTTCCTAATAAATAATAATAAGAAATATCTCTGAATAGTTCAAAGAGATCTCTCCTCCCTTCCACTGATACGTGGTAAGAGGTGGAAGGGGAAGCTACACCAGTGTATAGATAGACTCTGAAGAACAGTCCTGCTGGTAGTGAATAAGCAGAGGGGGTGGGCCACTTTCTGGGTTCATGAGGAAGGGACTAGCTTGAGCTCTGGCTGTGTTCAAATGTACCTTCTTCTCTCTTGATCCTACTCCTCCTACTCTTGATATCTCTTGATTTCTCCTCTTTCCAGGAGTGTCAGTTCTTTTCCATAGAGTCCTTAGAAAGGAGAGTTGTAGCTACAGAAATGCTCTGCTGAGAAGCTGGCTGTAATTGGGTAACTTCCTTCCCAGGGAAATAGTTTTAGAAGGAAAGTCAGGAAGAACAAAATCATTTAGACTCTAGGAACTGTTTCTTCAGTGACAGAATGGTGAACCTGGCACACACTATGGGGTCAAGTGCAGCCTCCTAACTTTGTGTGTCATCCAACTAATTATATCTAACTGTGTGCCTTATCTTTGTAAGAGAGTAACTTAGACACAAAAACAAAAATTCTCAGATCTCAGCCCTCTGTGTAGCTAGGATTACAGGTGTGAGCCACTGGCACCCACTTGAACAGAGAAATCTAGTAGCCATGAAACTGATTATCATCTGCAGCATCCTTGAAGGAGAACTAAGATCCAGATTTTGGGGAAAAGTTACTCTCAGGGACATTATGGCTGAGGGAAGGTGAATCTGATTTTCGGGAAGACATAGAGTACATGTGAAGTGGGCTTTTGTCATTATTTCATAATTGATTTGGCTAGGTGTAATACATTTCCTATTTTTAACATAACTTCTTCAGGGCTGGGAAGGTGGCTCAGTGGTAGAGCGCTTGCCTTGCATGCATGAGGCCCTGGGTTCAATTCCTCAACACCACATAAGCAAAAAAAGCCAGAAGTGGCACTGTGGCTCAAAGTGGTAGAGTGCTAACCTTGAGCTGAAGAGCTGAGGGACAGTGTCCAGGCCCAGAGTTCAGGCCCCCCACGACCAGACCCCTTCCCCCCCAAAAAAACAACAAAAAAACCCCATAACTTCTTCATAGACCAGACTCTGAAGTCATCTCAGTTTTTTTATTGTGGATATTTTTCCTGGTTTTGAAAAAATTATCCATTGAAAATAAAGCCAGTGGAAGAAAATTCTCTAAAGGTTTCTGTGATTCTATAATAGCAACCGCACATCTTTGTTTTACTAGTATCGGGTGCATTCATAGCTGCCAAAATATAGAAGTTTGATTTCAAGAGTTGTATTCTATAGTGGGTCGTAGGAAGCTACATCAGATTTCCATACGGAAGCCCATTTGGGTAAACAGAAGTTTACTATTATAGGAAATAGTCAAGCATTCATTTTATTCTTAAGTTGCTCTCCTTATATTCATTTTTAAAGTTACATTTCCAGTTGGTTGTACTTCCTGATGGTTTCCATTTCATATTAAAATTTCAAAAGTGATCAGGTGAAATACTCGAGTAGTGGTAAAACTGCCTATACACATCCACTATGCTAAAGGAGAGAGAAGAAAAACATTAGTGTCTTCAGACTTTTGTCTCATTGTAGATGTGTTTAAAAATCTCTGCAATGAGATTTCTGTGAGTTGGATGTATTTATATAGCTTGCAATCAACATTACTGAAATATATATTAGGAGCTTTCCTACATGTAAGAAGAGTAGGTAATAAACATTTCTTCTGAACATTTGTATGAATTTCCCCTTTCTTCGTGCTAGTCCTTAAAATTAGCATTTACTGGTCTTGAAGTGATTTAGACATCATTTAGGGTACATTTACAGCTGTTTCTAAAAGAAGATCTCACCATTGTTTCTAAATAAAAGTGAAACATGAAGCCAGGTGCTGGTGGCTCACATCTGTAATCCTAGCTACTCAGGAGGCTGAGATCTGAGGATCACAGTTCAAAGCCAGCTTGGGTAGGAAAGTCTGTGAGACTCTTATCTCCAATAAACCACCAGAAAACTGGAAGTGGTGCTGTGGCTCCAGTGGTAGAGCACTAGCCTTGAGCTGAAGAGCTGAGGGACAGCACCCAGGCCCAGAATTAGAGCCCCATGAATGACATAAGAAAAAGTGAAGCATGAAGCTCAAAACCCCAGCACTGAATGAGAAAAAACAGAAGTGAAATGTCTAACTGTTATCAGTTTGAATGACATATACTTCACAAAACATCCTTATCATTAATCTGGTCCTAATTGTTGTATTTAGGGAATAGGTATAATTTATGTTTTCATCTTGGTCTTCTTTCTATGACTCTTCTAGTAATATTCCAGAATTGGTACAAAAAGATTTTTCTTTTTGTGTTTTCTTTTATTACATTTTGTTGTGAAGAAGATTTTAAATCTCCCACAAAAGCACATACACCAAAGGATTAGTTTGGGGAATTGGTGGAACCCATTGGGAAGAAGTCAGGTCATTAGGAATGAGTCCTTGAAATGGATCTTGAGACTCTTCAAACCCACTCCTCCTCATTGTTTCCCAGCTGTCATGAGCAGAACAGATGTCTTCTGCCACATGTGCCTACCATGACTGATGTGCTTTGCAATGGTTCTACAAGGAATGGAGCAAAGTGACCTCAGACTGAAGCCATCAGTCAAAATAAATCTTTCTTCCCTATAAGCAGATTATCTCAGCTATTTTGTCTCAACAGCAGCACTCTAACAGAACTTATAACAAATAAGTCCCAAGCAGTCCAGCAGAACACAGCTATACAGAAGCAGCAAGAAATCTACCAAGTTGCATGACTCATTAAGAGTTTATTTCATAAGGCTTTTTTGGGAAGAGACAGAAGGGAGGAGAGAGAAAGACAAAGGAGGGTTTGGCTCTCATTAAGATGTGCTGAATCCACAAATGGATATATTATAATAAGACGCCATTGTACAACTCATTAATATTAATAAAAACTCAAAAATAATTTTCAAACACATACAAAAACAACTAAAAGGGGAGAAAGAGACTATCTCATTGTCTTTTTGACAGATAAAGCTCAAGGATCGCTATAGAATGACCTTTCGTGGAAGGAAGTTAAGTCATTGGGAGTAAGTTAGGTCATTGGAATGGCAATGATGTAATCTTTTCTCCTAAGGATATTATACAAAGTTAGAACAACAAACTCTGCCCCAAAGAATGGTGATCTAGATTTGCCTTTATGATCCAGTAGACATATACTCTAGATAGATTTGATGAGGTATTGAAATAAAGCCTATTTTCCCTGTTGAAAACAAAATTCTTATTTCAACTCCAGGAATTTCTTCATGGAGACAATAATATGTACTTGTAAAACCAAGCAGGGACTATTCTGCTACCACTCTAGGTTGCAAAGCAATGGCTGATGGCCTTGGTGACATAAATTTGTCCAGAACATCTCCATTGATGGAGTACATGCTTCCAACTATTAGCCTGACAAGGAGACTAAACAAAATCTTCACAGGCTTAACATTTGATTGCCAAAGGTCACGTTAGCCATTTTCCTTTTTAATATTCAAAACAAGTGGTGACTGAAGAGTTGGTGATGCTACATCCAGATGATGGGCTGTGAGGAAAACCCTTGTGAAATCTTAGGGGTCATGGAATTAAGGGCCACTTTTGCATTTCACCAGGCTGTAGCAGACACCTGGGAAAAGTAGCCTAGGTAGAATACCTAGGTTTCCACTCAGCCACTAACACGCTGCAAGTCACTGGATAAAGGGCAGTTTGCTTGTTCTTCATTTCTTTCATTTAGAAAATGAGAGATTTGGGCAAACAGTCTTGAAGATGTCAGCCAGCTCCAGAGTTCTGATTCTATGAGGGGAAATTATCCCATAATGAGGCTGTGTTTCAACTGTGCTCTATGGACAACAGTGTTGTTTGCAGACCAGCACTGACTTTGTTTTATGGTAGCCCATAACTGATCAGTCCATTTAACACAAGTCATGGGTAAAAGCATAGGCTAGTCAAGAAAACCTTTTCAATTTCTTTCCTGTCTACTCTAGGGTCTTGTTATGACACCTCAGAAACATTGGCCTAGACAATTAGCAAAGAAAACAGTTTAAAAAAATACAAAAAAAAACATCCTCCCACTCACGCTTCATTAAATTCTCCACATGCCCAGTATCACACCACACACTCAAAAGCCCATAGTGGATAGGAAGTGCAGGATGATGAGTAAAAATAAAGGTGAGCTCATAAAATGCCACTCTCTTCTCCGCCCCAAGGCACTATTTTACTCTCTAGTCTTTCCCACAGACTTTAAAGTGTATATCAATCACAGAAGAGACTTCATTGACATAAGCATCAGATAAAGAAAAGAAAGTGATACTCTACAAAATCATTTGCAAAGGCTGGGAATGTGGCTTAATGGTAGAGTGCCTGCCTAGCATGCAGGAAGCCCTGGATTCGATTCCTCAATACCACATAACAGAAGAAGCCAGAAGTGGTGCTGTGACTCAAAGTGGTAGAGTGCTAGTCTTGAACAAAAAGAAACTCAAGAACAGTGCCCAGGCCCTGAGTTTGAGCCCCAGGACCGGCAATATGTATACATATTTGTATAGACACACACACACACACACACACACACACACATATACACATATACATACTTTCTCTCTTAACCCTCCCCCTCCCCCCCACATACACACATACTTGCAAAAATGACCTGGAAGAGTGCAAAAGTAAATTGAAATGGAGCATGTGGAATCAGAGAGAGCTTACGGATCAAAGGCAGCAAGCAGGAAGTTCAGCAGGAGGCTGATGGATTGCTCCACGTGGATTTGGTGCGTGGTCGGCATCCGTTTGTTGAGCTGGTAAAAAATGGTAGAGAGCACGGCCTCTAAGCGGGCCACATTGAGTTCTATGTTTGGGTCCAGGTTGTTCAGAGCATTTTCCCGCAGGGCTTCTATGATGTTCCAAATATCCACCAGGTGTACTACAATCAAATCAGAGTGAGCACGTCAGCCCAAAGTACATGGAGAGGCAAACTGCTTTCTATGTCCATCCACCCTGGTTTTTCTAGGCCCTTCACATGTTCAGCTGTCATGGGGGCTGACATAGAGATCTCTAGGGTTGGACATATAACAGCAAATAAATTGTTGACTGAATATTGCAGTGGTCCTTGCAATTACATTTGAAGTACACCTGAGATCCCCATTTTACATGTAAGAAAACAATGAGGGAAGTTAAAGACAAACGCAAAGGGGCAAGGCCAATCAGAAGCAAAATGGACATGGGAAATCAAGTCTAATTCAAAGCATTTTCCCTACTGGGCATTCTGACCTCTCAAAAAATGAAAGAACAGATTAAATTCGAACGTCCAGACGGATATTAAAATAATTATATTAAATGAAGCAAGCTAGACCCAAAGAATCACAGCTGCATGTTTTCCCTCATTTGTAATAACTAGAATATGTCTAGGATATTCTTAAAGAGGATCACAATAGCTCAATAGCTATGTACATAGGACAATATAAAATGATGCTTATCAAAATGGACTCCAAGAAATGGAAACAAGAAGATTGTTTTCTTTTTCTTTTTTTGGTGTACTGTTTGCAGTTATTTCTGCTTTCTTTCTTTCTTTCAATTCCTTTGATTTATTCCCTGTGGTTATTGTTTTTTATTTCTATACCCTTTGTCTTGTATATAAGTTTATCTGATTTGGGGAAGGGAAGGGAAAACAGTGGGACAGGGGGTGAACCAACACAACAGTGATATTCACCAGACGTTATGTTGGAAATGAACTTTACGACTGGGAGAGAGAGCAGTTGCGGGGGGCAGGGGAAAATGAGGATGGGGTAACAGTGTTCAAAAAGCAATGTACTCATGACCTTACCTATGCAATTGTAACCCCTCTGTACAGAACCTTTACAATAAAATTTAAACAAAAATAAATTGCATTTGAGTATTCAAGATGTTTTCATTTATTTATATCTTTTTAGTAGTATGAAGTTTAGAAACAGCCAAAAAAGGCAAGTTGAAGTGGTCAGGAAGACAAGGCGAAAAGGACACATTAGGATAAGCTCTTTATGACCAACTTTATGCAGCAGGAGTGAGTCACAAAGCTGAGTAGCCTAGATAAGAACAAGTAATGTCTTGGCTACAGAACTGACTAGCAAATCTGACTTAAGTAACTGTCACTTTCTACTAGGATAGTCAGGAATTCTGTTTCTATACTTTGCTATTTGTCCTGAAGTACTGATAGAACATTTCAATAACCCTCACCAGTCCAAGATTAATAAACATATCCATTCACACTGCATGTTTCCTTTGAGCTTCCCAAGCAATCTCATCTGTTTGTTTTCTGTCACCATTTTGTATAATTCCTAAATGATAGTCTATTCTGAGATTCGTCTATATTGTTTCATGTGTCAACAGTTTGCTCTTTTAATTGCTGAACAGTGGTATTCCATGGAATATCACAAATTGATTATCAGCTTACTTGTTGGTAGACATTTGAATTAACCTAGTTTTTGCTGTTAGGAACAAAGTGGCTAAAAACAATTATATAAAAACCTTTAGAGAGACCTATACTTCCATTTCTTTTCTTGTTAAGTACTTAGAGGCTGAGTTAAATTGGAGAGTGGTTGGTTTATGTTTAGTTTGTCAAAAAAAACCAACCCCCTCTCCCCCAAAAAACCACTTCTGAAGAGTTCTGCAAAGTCAGCTGTCCCATTTCATGTTCTAGCAGCTGTGTGAGTTCCAGTTCCTTTTTACACCTGTGCCTTGTTCAGGTTCATTTTCACTGCTAGCATTTGCTAATAAATATCTTGTCTTTTTGCAATGAAGTATATACATGTTTCAGGTCCTAAGAAATATGTACACTGTATTTGCTTTTTTCCTAAACAGCTCCTCAGTCTGACTACTGTCTCTTTATTCACTTCTGACAATACGTATGTGAGTGTGTGAGTGTGTGTGTGTGTGTGTGTGTGTGTGTGTGTGTGTGTGTGTGTGCCAGTTTTAAACTCAGGACCTGGGCACAGTCCCTGAGCTTTTTTGCTCAAGACCAGTGCTCTACCACATGAACCACAACTTTACTTCCAGCTTTTTGCAGTTAATTAGAGAGAAGATTCTCATGGACTTTCCTGCCCTAGCTGGCTTCAAACTGCTGATCCTTAGATCTCAGTCTCCAGAGTAGTAGAATTATAGGTGTGAGCCAGCAGCACCCAACTTTCTGGTATTATTTAAAAAAAAAAAAAAAAGGAACATCTCTTGGACTCTTATTGGTAAGTACTTGGCATTGTATGTGACCATGTTTTCTTGGCACCATTCTTTTCTATTGTTTCTTTAAACAGATTTTATGGTTTCTTGATTTTGGAAATAACCACATAACAAGGGACAGGCCTACCAACAAGCAAAGTTTTTTTTGTACCACATTCTCCCCTAGGCCAAGTATACTACAGGATCTCTAGATTCTGAAGGTCCAGTGAAGTCTATGCGGATTTTACTTCCAAAATCAGCATAAGGAAAAATGAAAACCCAAAGTCTGGCTCCCATAACTAAGTTTATATGCGTTAAGAACATTAATATTTAAGCAATTATGTAAGTCACCCCACTAACAAAAATAAGTTACATAGAACTTTCATGTGTTCTTCACTTGGATTTTGATATTGTGTGTGTGTGTGTGTGTGTGTGTGTGTGTGCATGCGCGCACGCGCGTGTGTATGTACTGGCGTTTGAATGCAAGGCCTTGTGCCTGCTGGTATTCTACTTGAGCTACATGCCTAGCCTTTCTTCTTGATGGTTATTTTGGATACTAAGATGCACAGACTTTTCTGTCTGAGCTGTCCTTAGTGATCCTCTGGATCTCAGTCTTCTGAGCAGCTAGGATGAAAGACATTACTAACAGCATCCAGCTTGATATTGCTTTTAGTAATTTCTTAAAATAATGTTTTCTCAATGAAGGGAAGAGACTCATGCTTAGCCTCATGGAATACTGGACTTAGAATTTTAAACACATCTTCTCTACTACAATTCGTACTCTCTTAGCCTCTTAAAATCTTAGAGCCTTACTTTCTTCATCTGTAAATTAAGAGTTCTTTAATGGAAAAGTGATTAATAAAATGTGGTAGTTCCTAGGGTACAAACAATATATTTGAACAAAGAAATGTTCTTGTAGGTTATGTCAAAGGGAAAACATTGATACATCTCTGGTTTGGGGCAAATAAATACAAATAACTTACCAAGTGAGATGTTTATTTATTGTATTTGGAAAAACTCAGATTTAAGTGACTTCAAAGTTACAACCTCTCTGTCTATCAAAAATACTAAGGAGATCATTTACATGTGCTAACATTATTTATCTAATGTTTCAAGTTAGCAAGCAAAGCACTCCTGGAGAAATGGCATGGCTGTGTGAGTCCTTTCCTCCAGTCTCCATTCTTTTCCCACTCCAAGTATTTCTTTCAAATGGCACGAGAATTGTAAATTTCTCCCATAAATCTGACATGCCACTTGCAAGGGCTTCTAATAACTTCCCATTATTTTTAATCCAAATACAGCTTGCAAAGTAGTTCTTATTTTAAAATCTGACCTCTGCTGCTTTCTCATCTAATACTTTATTCATCATAATTTCGCATCTTAATCACCTTGTCAAGGGTGACTTTCTCAATCTATAGCCTTCTGGTTTTGAACGTCTCCTGGGTGCCACCTTAGAGCCCTACTCTCTTCCTCCATTCGAAACTTAATGGACTCTGTGGAAAGGCTGGTTATTTGTTTCTGTATTATAGATGCCACACCCAAAGTGGCTTAACATCACAGGAGTTGTTGATCAAATGAAAAAAAAAATAACCGGGAAGTGATTCAGTAGAGAAGGCAAATTTCTGAGTTTCTCTGGATGTTTTTGATTTCTAAAGGGACAATGCAACACACCTGTAAGACTCACACAGGTGTTGGTGTGTGTCCTGCATAAATCATCAGAGATGTCACTAAATCTCTCTGTCCTTTATCTTGGAGCCAACCATCCTCAGATAATTACAGTGAGGATTAAATGAAATGCCCGGAAAACACGTGGAATAGGGCATGCCACGTAGGAAATCATAGGTATATATGCTTCATTCTTGTATTCATCCAATTCAAAGTTTAATGTAAGAAAAAGTGAAGTACTAATTCTAGGTAATTGGTCATTGGGTCTGGTTTAATAAAGCTAATCTAGGTAATTAGGTTCAGGAAACTGTAGTAGGTCCTGGAGGTTCCAAGGCATACTGACTCAGGAAGCTAAGATTTGAATGAGGACACAGACATGACTTAGTCACACAGAGAGATAACCACAAACCATGACATAATGTGACATTCAAGGCCCGATGTACAAAATAGGATATGCTTGTGATGGGGCTAGGAGGATGAAGAAGGCTGGAGAAGCACTGTAGCATGCAGGCAAAGTTTGCCCTTGTTCAGAATCTAACAACAGGTTTGAAGGAGGAAAGCCACATATAGAAATGCAGCTTAAAAAATTGGGCATGGTGATGCACACCTATCTTCCAGGCACTTGAGAGTTAGAGGCAGGAGGATCATGAATTTGAGATTGGCCTGAGCTACCGGGAGAGTTCCCAGACAGATGAAACTACATAGGGAAATCTTGTCTCAACTAAAACAAATTAAGTAAGTAAATGAGTAACTATTAAAACATTGCTGCTTTAAGAGAAGGAAGCAGTATGGATGGGCAGGGGGGCAGTTGGCAGTAGCTGGAGTTTGTTTCCTTAGTTTAAGTATGAGGGGATGCACAGATGATAGGGCACAGAAAGAATTGTCACCTTGTGCCATGTTATAGTGCTATTTTCCAGGAGTGGCATGGTGGATAGGGGACCAGTTTCACAGCCAGAGGATTGGGGATTCACCCATGGCTCTGCTAATAACTGTAAATCGGGACAAATTATTACAGCGCCACAAATTTTACCCTCAGAGTGATTTGTGTGATGAGCCTATAGATGTGCTGGG